GCCATAGAGCCAGTGAGCTCGCGCCGCTATTGTTGCACGTCGTTGCGCATAATTATCCTGTCCATTACCTTGTTCGGGAGACGAGATCTGCTTTTATTATCTATTTAGAAGCCACGTTGTATAGACGTTGTAAACGGAGCGATAACATACTATATTCTAAAACAAAAAAGGTTTCTTTTTAATAAGCGTTGTCTATTAAAAAAAAACATGACACTGTGGGCTTTTATCGGAGTCATCTCAAGTAGTTATAATGCTGCAGTATTGAAAATAAAAACAAAATTCACAAGTTGATACAGGCTTACAAAAGCTTGTCTGTATTAGATTATTAGCCACATAATTCTACTAAGCTGCATAATGTTGTCAATCTTCCAGACACGTTTGCCTATAATTTGTTCAGGCTCGAACTCGACTATACAAGCTGGTATTCGTAGATGACATTAGACATTAGACAGACGTGTTCCAGTTCGGTTAATGGGCTAGTCTTACCACTGGACAGGGCAACAGGTGCGAAACTTAACAGGTAGCGTCAACCGGCACTATACTTACATCTCTCGTTGCCCCTAGCAACTAGTTTTTTACTCTCTTTGTACTGTTAATTTTATACCTTTATTATCGATTAATACATCTCATAAATGTAACCAGCGCAAATTAAAGTATTGCCTATTTAGAGTACTTTTAAGGCTCTACGTTATACAAGAAGCTTAAGAAAAACTTTTGTTTGGATTCGATTGAGTGTTACCATGAGAAGTTTCTTTGGTGCATAAAGTGCCAATGCCTGTGCTAAATATATCACCCCTCTAGCTGAGAGGGAGTCAGGTTCAGGGCAGGTGTGTCAGCATGTGACCGTGTGCCAGACTCCCCGCCGAATCTCTGGGTTAAGTTTAACAGATTCGATTCGCGTTTTTTTGATAAATATGTAACTTTTGAAATTGTATTTATTTATACACAAATTTCGCAAAAGGCATACGCATTTTAAAATTGATCTTATTTTGTATAAAATAAAATTTAATTTAATATGTGTTCCCTTTCTTACAATTTCAAAAATAATTTAATGTGTGGTGTGGTTTAAATTTAATGGTGTTGTAATTTTAAAGGAGTATTGGGGATATTTTATATAAAATACGATCAAATTTAACGGCCATTCTTTGATTAGTTTTCACTACCTAATTTTGATTATTTAAGTATTAAATTTTTTATCGTGTAATGTTATTTAATAATTTTTAAATAATAAACATCACATCACAAATTACACCCAAGCTCACGAGATAAATAAATGTAGGCCATGCAAATATTTCTCCCGGCCCGGGAATCGAACCTGGGACCTCTGCGTAGGAGTACGGCATGGTAACCGTTCGGCCACTGGCACTGAGGCAGTTAGGTAGTGAACACTAGTCAGAGAAATACTTTAAAAATGTGTTCTCTTTCTTACAATTTTAAAAATAATGTAATTTAAAGATACCGTTATTTTAAAAGTAGTCATAGTCAAATATCTTTTACGTGCAAAAAAGTTTTTAAATTTAATTTTAATTTAAGTTTGATCTTTTAGGTGTATATAGTTCAATAATGTCAAATGTATTTTTTCACTATTTAAATGTTTTTCCTTTATAAACAATTAATCTTAGTAATACCTTAAGATTGTCATGTGTCCTTTCCAAGGGTGAGAGCCTGGTGACTTGTAGTACAGGCGTTAAGCCTTTAACAAGCACCAGCTCCCAAAAAATAAGTTATTGCATGTATCTTAAATTACTAACAAGTATATGTACGTATTTTTGTGGAGGAATAAACGTTATTATTATTATTATTATTATTATTATTATTATTATTATTATTAAAAGAGTGTTGGGAATATGAAAATTACTTACTGACGTATTAAATCCATGTGTGCACGCCCATGTGATACTATTTACACCTTGTTTAGTTTCTTGAAGTGCATATGAGCAAATTTATAATATACTCGTATCTTCAATATGTTAGTATGTCTGTTTGACCGGACATCCATACAACATGTGCTTTTACAAATAAATGAATTATGATTACGCATTGCACAGATTTATTCTTTGTCAAGTGTAATTATAATATCGTACCGTATCGTACGTATTTTGTTTCCACAATATACAAAATTTCTGTTGTCTATTGTTTAAAACTACAGTGAAAATTTAAAGCAGACTCTAGTTGTTTACATTTTTATGCTATATAAAAGAAATTGGCCCTAATTTAGTCCCTTGGCGAATCCCGGTCGGCATCAGGTTAAGGGCAGGTGTGACGGCGCGCGTTTGGCTACTTCGGCATGTGCCAGTTGCTTGAATTTAGTCGTTAAGCCTTGGGGACATTTAGTATTACGATTTTTACGGTTATTTTCTGTAGTACGTGCACTTTTCGTCGACAAACCAAGGAGCTGATTATTAAAAAGTAGAAGCTATCTTTTTAGTATCTAACTGCTATTTATTTACTATGTTGCGTTTGTAATTTACTGAAAATGTTTATAATAATGTTAAAAATGATTAAAAGTAAATTATTTTCAATTACATGCTAATTAGTAAAAAAAACTGTGTATAAAAAAACTTCTTTCATCCCCCAAACTGAACTACAGTCGCCATCTACACACTACCCTTAAAAATGAGTACTAAAATCGATGATATGCGTCCTTCAATTTAGTACGCAGTTTTGCCACTAGATGGCACATTAAAGCCACCCTTAACATAATCGTAAGGGAAGGTAAAAGTTTTACCCTGTCACGTGCCGTATTGCTTTTTCACAGAGTTTCATAAGAAAGGCAACAGATGGCGTTGCCGTTATTGTCATGTTTCAAGAAAGAGATGCAGTAACAATGGGTTATTTTAATAAAAGGCGGAGACTTTCACAAAACTTAGTAATTCGAGAATTCAAAAATCAATAGATAATTCATAGGAGATACAATATCATTTTATAGTTTTATTTTTCATAATTTAGTGCGTAGTTTGGTTTAAGATCTTGTTAAAAAGCAGTAAATTTCATAGTTTTCACTTTTTGAAGTATCGTAAAATTTTATTATTATAAAAATAAAACAGTAGCAAACGACCAATTAGCAGAGTTTGAAACGTGAGAGGTTATGGGCCCAACGCCGGGCGAAGGGATTAATTAAAAATATAATAAACCCGTTCTGCCCTTTTATCTCTCGGTTATTTATTACGCACTCATCAATACTGTTCACTAATAAACACTTGTTTCTGAAATACCTTATTTCTTTCATACACGTGTTGAGGTATATTAAAAGTATTACGGTCGTGTTTATTTTGTTTACTGTACAAGTTGCGATGTAGTTTAAGATATTGCTTTTTTAGTTTTTTAATAAATTACAGATTCAGGCATTACTTTGCGGTAATCCATATTAATAAAAATTGAAATAAATTACGTGGCTACTCCGGAAATCCAGTGAAGACAGATCAGGTAAAATATCTAAGACTGTGTTCATGTAGATATTTTTCACACTACCTGTTTGTGTTATTTACAGAGATATATTGAAATACAATCAAATGTAGAAAGGTCATCAGTATTTGCACGTCAGCTTGCTAAAAGTACTGCCACGTTACATATTTCTGCCGTCAAGCAGTAATGTGAACATTACTGCGTTCCGGTTTCGAAGGATAAGGGTACTGGTGAAATTACGGGCAAATGGCACTTGTCAACGTTTGTCTCAAGACGGGCGCAGTGGCAGTGTCCCTACGATCTTTGCGATTTGAAACTCTGAGTGATACTGCAACTGTTATGAATAGGCGTGTCACTTACCACCAGGCGCACGACTTGTAAGTCCCGTCACTTGATATTATATAAATAATAAATTAAGTTTGAATACAATGTAACTTATTTTACTTAAGGGCTGCTTAGTCACTATGATTTTTTTCTATTATTTTATGCAGAATTCCAAGTCCAGCTATTTTGCATGATCTAACTTTCACAGGGTTCGCGGAGTGGCAAAATAATTTAATTTTGCGTTGTTATTTGTTTGTTGTTTTCTTTCTTTTCTTGGTTTTCCTCTCTTTCTTCTTCCTTAGATTATAAAGAGGTCAAGGAGCTGCTATAAACCGTAAGGAGTGGAGGAGGTTTTTATTTTATTTATTTTATTTTATTTGGGATAACAACAGCCATAGTTTTTTGGATTTTAATTTTTAGTAATATACAGGTAATATACAAGTAAGGTAAAAAATACAATAAAAGCTTAACTACTAGAAAGTAAAACTAGGATTTTTAAATTATATGAATAAAATTGGGGCCCCGCGGCAAGGTGCCCAAGATGCTGGCAGCGTTCCCTCTTTGTATTGCTATGCTAATGCGTTGGGCAAGGTAGCTGCCGGCCCTTGGGTTTCCCAGACAGTCAATAATTTTTTTTCGATAAAATTTACTTATTACTTTTTATTCTTTCCGCCAGCTCAACTGCGGAGCCAACCGTCCCACACCGGCCCATACTCCAAGGGATGAGAGTCATTCCGTCCGGGCGTTTTCGCGACATGCCGCTTGGCTCGTGAATAG